TCCTCGAGTAGTTTAACAAATCAAGTCTTATATACTAGTGGTTTAGATATGAAATACATTATCAATTAAAGAAATACCGATGATCAATTCAAGGAGATTTATATATTAAATTTGATATTGATAAACTTTTGTTGATCAATAAAATTAAATTTATATAATTAGGAGTTATATAATTTAAATTTATAAAATTAACTTGATCGATAAATTAAATTTATTAAATTTAATGTATTTCATATGTATATATATATATACATGTATGTTTAATTAATAAAATCAACTTCAAGAGCTGAGTTTATATTAAAATAAATTAATAAATACCGACCTAAAGAGGTCAGTATATTTAAATTATTATTTTATTTAAATAATATCGACTTCACGATGTCGATATTTATTAAATATTTTTAAATATAGATAATTATTTTTAAAAATACCAACATCCCGTGGTCGGTAAATTAAACAATTTTCTTAAAAAAAGAATGATATTATCAAGTCTCACTCCTAAGTGAAGTCTCAAAACCTAAGTGAAGTCTCACTCCCCATCCCTTCCCCACCTCTATCGGCGCCCATCCCTGACCGGCACCACGCCACCATCCCCGACAGGCGCCACGCCACGCCACCATCGCAGCAACAGAGGAAGGTCGCGCCCAGCAGCAGAAGGTCGCTCCGCCTCCATCCCGACCGGCGCCGCCTCCATCCCGACCGGCGCCGCCTCCATATCAACTTTCTCAGTTCGCGCCACCATCCTCGACCTTCTTACTCAAGGTGAATTTTTGGAACCTCCATAAAAGATTACTTTTGTTTCTATTTAGTTGAAGTATCTCAAAATTAGAGTACTAATATACTTAGTTTTATTGATTGTTAGTTTGATTGATTGTTAGTTAGTAAGTGAATGATTTAGGGTTTTTGATTGTTAGTTTGAATTAGGGATTATTTGATTGTTAGTTTGTGTTTGTTGATTGTGAATTGAAAATTTTAATGTTAGGGTTAGTTTGAATTAGGGTATCTTAGGATTTGTTTGAAATTCGGTATTTCTTGAGTTAATTAGTTTGATTTTGGAATTGTAAGATTAGATTGAATTAGGGTATTTAAGGAGTTGTTTGAATTTGGGTATTATTTGAGTTAGTCTGAATTATTATTGAGATTTTAGGACTAATAGTTTGAATTTGTGATTAGGAATAGCTAGCTAATTTGAATTTTAGGATTTTAGCACTAGTTAGATTTTGGGATTTTAGGGCTAGTTTGAATTTGTGATTTTAAGACTAGTTTGAATTTTGAATTTAGGACTAGTTTGAATTATTATTGAGATTTTAGGACTACTAATAGTTTGAATTTGGGATTTTAGCACTATAGTTTGATTTTTGAATTCTAGGAGTACTTTCAATTTGTGATTTCATGACTAATTTGAATTTGGAATTTAGGACTAATAGTTTGAATTATATTTGATATTTTAGGACTAATTTAATAGTTTGAAGTTGGGACACTAGCTAGCTAGTTTGAATTTAGAATTTTAGGGATTTGAATTACAACTTAATTAGAACTTATAATTAATTATAACTTGAATTTACTATAAATTGAACTTAATTAGGAATATGAACTTGAAATTATAACTTGAACTTGGAACTAATTAGCTTGAATATATAACTAATTAAGTTTAGAAATTATATATGAACTTGAATTGAAACTTGAACTTATTAAAACTTGAGAATATATATATATATATATAAACTAATATTCTTGGATATGAAGTTTATATTTAACTAATTTAAGAACTTTTCGTGCTAGGCAACTGAGGAAGCTCAACATGTAAAAAAGTTGATACAAGTTTATTTTGCTTCTTTCATCAAAGTTGGAGATAAGGTTGGTGCTTCTAAATTTCTAAAGTTCAAGTACAATTGTTTTCAATAATGTGTTTGTGTCCATCTAGTATTAATAATTGGCTTTAATGCTAGTAATTATAATTGATTGTTTGTTAGTATATTATTGTTTTTGTTTGTTGGTTGTGTTATTCAATTGTTAATTTGATTTGATTATTGTTAGTTAGGTATAGATAATTGAAGATTTTTATTTTAAGGTTTTTAAAAAAAGAAATTAGGCATTTTTAAATTGGGCATTGTTAGTTAGTGAAGAATTAGCATTTTTATATTTTAGAACTAGTTTAAACTTGAGAATATGTAATTTGAGGTTAAATTGAGATTTTTTTGGATTTGATTTTAGGACTAGTTAGTAAAGTGTTAATTTGAAGTTAGAAATTAGTAATTGAAGTGTTATGAGTAGTTGTTTAAATAAGTTAAAATGAATAATGTCGGTTTAGTTAGTGAATTTAGTTGTTGGAATTAAGTCAAAACTAATGTAGTTAATGTTAAAAAGTTGTTAAGTTGTTTAAATAAGTTAAAATAAATAATGTGGTTTAGTTAGTGAATTTAGTTGTTGGAATTAAGTCAAAACTAATGTAGTTAATGTTAAAAAGTTGTTAAGTTGTTTAAATAAGTTAAAATAAATAATGTGGTTTAGTTAGTGAATTTAGTTGTTGGAATTAAGTCAAAACTAATGTAGTTAATGTTAAAAAGTTGTTAAGTTGTTTAAATAAGTTAAAATAAATAATGTGGTTTAGTTAGTGAATTTAGTTGTTGGAATTAAGTCAAAACTAATGTAGTTAATGTTAAAAAGTTGTTAAGTTGTTTAAATAAGTTAAAATAAATAATGTGGTTTAGTTAGTGAATTTAGTTGTTGGAATTAAGTCAAAACTAATGTAGTTAATGTTAAAAAGTTGTTAAGTTGTTTAAATAAGTTAAAATAAATAATGTGGTTTAGTTAGTGAATTTAGTTGTTGGAATTAAGTCAAAACTAATGTAGTTAATGTTAAAAAGTTGTTAAGTTGTTTAAATAAGTTAAAATAAATAATGTGGTTTAGTTAGTGAATTTAGTTGTTGGAATTAAGTCAAAACTAATGTAGTTAATGTTAAAAAGTTGTTAAGTTGTTTAAATAAGTTAAAATAAATAATGTGGTTTAGTTAGTGAATTTAGTTGTTGGAATTAAGTCAAAACTAATGTAGTTAATGTTAAAAAGTTGTTAAGTTGTTTAAATAAGTTAAAATAAATAATGTGGTTTAGTTAGTGAATTTAGTTGTTGGAATTAAGTCAAAACTAATGTAGTTAATGTTAAAAAGTTGTTAAGTTGTTTAAATAAGTTAAAATAAATAATGTGGTTTAGTTAGTGAATTTAGTTGTTGGAATTAAGTCAAAACTAATGTAGTTAATGTTAAAAAGTTGTTAAGTTGTTTAAATAAGTTAAAATAAATAATGTGGTTTAGTTAGTGAATTTAGTTGTTGGAATTAAGTCAAAACTAATGTAGTTAATGTTAAAAAGTTGTTAAGTTGTTTAAATAAGTTAAAATAAATAATGTGGTTTAGTTAGTGAATTTAGTTGTTGGAATTAAGTCAAAACTAATGTAGTTAATGTTAAAAAGTTGTTAAGTTGTTTAAATAAGTTAAAATAAATAATGTGGTTTAGTTAGTGAATTTAGTTGTTGGAATTAAGTCAAAACTAATGTAGTTAATGTTAAAAAGTTGTTAAGTTGTTTAAATAAGTTAAAATAAATAATGTGGTTTAGTTAGTGAATTTAGTTGTTGGAATTAAGTCAAAACTAATGTAGTTAATGTTAAAAAGTTGTTAAGTTGTTTAAATAAGTTAAAATAAATAATGTGGTTTAGTTAGTGAATTTAGTTGTTGGAATTAAGTCAAAACTAATGTAGTTAATGTTAAAAAGTTGTTAAGTTGTTTAAATAAGTTAAAATAAATAATGTGGTTTAGTTAGTGAATTTAGTTGTTGGAATTAAGTCAAAACTAATGTAGTTAAAGTTAAAAAGTTGTTAAGTTGTTTAAATAAGTTAAAATAAATATTGTGGTTTAGTTGGTGGATTTAGTTGTTGAAATTATATATCTAATATAAAATTTTACAGGAGCATTGGCAAGTCTAAAAGGGGTATTAAGAATAAACATAGGGTGGAGGGCTGTATGGTTCAAGTATATCTAGCTAAAGAAATATCCCACTTTTGTTCTTACTACTTTTATGATTATGTGTCGTGTTTGTTGAGTGCTGGCGAACCGATTAGAGGCTCAGTCTACGGCTATCCAGAAAAGGCGTATCAAAAGAAGAAGTCTTGGTATTGTGGTTCATCATCCTCAAGCTTTGATGGCGGGGATAGAGAGACAATATCTGCAATGGAGAGTAAGATAGCTTATCTTAATGCCGAGCTTGTTGCTGTAGCCGAAAAAGAGAAGAAGAGAGAAGAAAAAGAGAGGAAGAGAGGGGAGGAGATTGCGGCAGCAAAGGAGGTAGAGAACAAGAGGTATGCAGCGCTTCAGGCCCAACTAACTTTTCTTTTTGAATTAGTAATTTCCGGAGGTCGGAATTTCAACATTACAAAAATAAAAATACCGACCTCCGGAGGTCGGAATTTCAACATTACAAAAATAAAAATACCGACCTCCGGAGGTCGGAATTTCAACATTACAAAAATAAAAATACCGACCTCCGGAGGTCGGAATTTCAACATTACAAAAATAAAAATACCGACCTCCGGAGGTCGGAATTTCAACATTACAAAAATAAAAATACCGACCTCCGGAGGTCGGAATTTCAACATTACAAAAATAAAAATACCGACCTCCGGAGGTCGGAATTTTCAAAAATAAAAAATAAAAATATCGACCTCCGGAGGTCGGAATTTCAACATTTCAAAAATAAGAATACCGACCTCCGGAGGTCAGAATCCCAAAAATGCAAAAATAAAT